ATTGTGCTCTCAGATAATGAACCACAACCTGCAAAGGCAGTTGGTGACCATGACATAAGGAAGTAACCACCAACTTCCTTATCCTCCCTTATCTCTGACACATGTCTGATGAGGGCTTAACACAGTGCAGTGATGATCTCAAACATTCATCACTTTCTAAAAATGATTCTCCAGTTTTTTCATTTAGGAAATTCAAGCCTCCTCACTTCGTCTGGTTTCACATGTGGGTGTATGGAGGTTGCTTCCCTTATATCAGGCTTGTTTCGTATCTTCTGTTTGGGGAAAGAACAGATTAAATTGCACCTGTCACCTCAGTTTGTCAACGACTTGTCACTTTTAAAATTTCGGGTGTGTTTCAGTAAGATTTCAGATAATGTTGCAAGCCTTTTTCATGTTCTTTGAATGAGTCAGGTTTATCTCTTATCTGAAGATTAGTTGCCAAACTAGAAACTTTTCTGCATCCCAGAGCCCCAGCGGCATGAGACATTCGATAATTCAAACCAAACTCAGACTGACAAACACCTTGACTCTTGTTCTTTCCCCAAGAAGCCACATCAGGGTATCGAAGTTATAGGAAAACAACTTTATTCCAAAACAAAGGTGAGCAGAGCAGCTTGAGGACTGGTTTTAAACAGTTGTTAATGACAGTGAGCCAGGGTCAAATTTGAGGAAGCCGGTCGGTTTCAGGCTGATGATCAGCACTCGTAGCACCACAATGACACTGCTTCTTCACAGAAAATGAAAAACTATTAAATGCTTATAGGTAGTCTGTTATATGGTGATTGATACCTTTATTTGGTTTTGTCAATTGTAATGAAACATCATCAGGGAGCACAAATTGACACCTGATTCTTCAGACAGGAGATATTTCTCATAATAGTAAGGCTGCAGACATGAAGATGCTATGAGAAGTAATGCACAAGAAGATGCAACTGACATGCATTGAGTGGAACGTTCCAGATCACTGCAACTGTATGCAAAACCTTTGTACCTACTTGGAAAGTCAAATATGTGACTGAACAGGTAAGGACAGCATTATGGGAACTTGCGAGAAAATATAGCAGAAATCTCAGGGTTGCGTTTAAGAGTAAGTTCTGCATTTGAGGTCAATATATGGTGCCACATTTGCCCTTGACCTCCTTAATAGAATACAAATTTGAAGAAATTTGTATTGCATTCAGTATTTAAAAGTCCTTATCTGTGATTTAGTTATTTTTTGTATTTCTTAAGTTTTAGTTATTTAGATTTTATTTTTTGTAGAGACAGCAGAATTTTGGAGTCCTGAAACAGCGAAGAGCTGCAGGGACTCTGATCCTTCAGCAGGGGCGTGCTGTTTCATCAAGATCCCAAAAGGTTGATTCTGTTCATCTGGACTTAGCTTTTTAAGTGGGAGAATCGTTTTGTTACTCATCCAAGTGACTTCTTCAGTCTCAGCTGACTGCAGGTTTCTTCAGCCTTATAAACAGTACATTTGCACAATGACTGAAACTAGCCCACTGAATGAACAATGGGCTGTGACTTCAGTTTGTTTCATGGAGACTTTAGCATTCATCAAACCTCCAGGTCTGAAAATACCTCAAACTCTTCCAAACTTTCTCTTATGACTACATTCAGTAAACTCACTCTGATCAACACGCTGATAATAAAGGTGTTTGGTTGTAAATCCTGTTTGAAAACCACCTTAAACTTCCCGCTGACACTCCCATTGTCATCTGGAAAAGTATATTACAGTCCTACCATTAGCTCCGCTCATTTACTCAGAGCAGTGCTGGACAAATCTCACACTTAGATGTGACATCAGTCACTCCTTATTTGGTCTTATGTCACATGACCACATGCTGAGCCCATCCATGCTGGTGCTCTGTTGGTGTA